GTACTCAGTGTGAAACTTGCCGCATGAGTAACGAACAGCGCGGGGGCCTGTGCGAATTATATACGGGCAGCGAACAGGACCCCCAGACGCCCCACGCTGAGCGTACCAGTCACGAATTTGCTAAGTCGTGGGGGTCTCTCGCTGACTCTGCTGCTATTGCTGCTGCTGCTGCTGCTGCTGCTGCTGTTGCCCCTGGCCATCACCGGAGCCCCCCTTCTGACCGGTTCCACTCCAGCCCCCACCACCGCTCCCACCACCGCTGTGAGGACCTGGTTCCGGAAAGATTGAACTATTGAATGATGCACCTGGGTACAAGGCGAGGCTATATATAGGCTCGACACAAAGGCAGTAACCCTGGTGTTACTAGAAGGTTCCGCGGGTCGCGAAGCATCCCGAACGGACCTTTTCGAAGTCAGTAGAAGGCAATTCGGTGGCAACCGAAAAGCCTAGAATTCGGTGCACTCAACCTAGTTCGGTGCCTATAACTATAATAATATAGTAAAAGCAACGAAACTATGAAATCTAGCAAAAGCAAGCAAAACAAAATAAAGCTAAGCTAGATAATGCATAATAAAGCAGAATCAAGCTAGTAAATCATAGCAAAGTCTTCATACTCTCACACATCCCCCCCCTCAAAGTTGGGTGGCGTGAGATACACCCTGCTTGACAAGATAATCCTTGAGAGCACGGCGTGCGTTGCCCATATCAGCTTCTGCAACCCAACTGTCCTCCGACGGGTCATATCCCTTCCAACGTATCAGGAACTCGAGCATGTTGCGGCGTCTATATCGATGAGCGAGCACTCGTTCCACCTCATACTCAGGTTCATCCTGTACGAGAACAGGTGGTGGTGGCGGTAGCTGTCGTCCTGTGAACTGCTGGTTGGGGTCCTTGTAGGGCTTCAGCAGCTGAACATGGAAAGCGTTATGAAGCTTCCACGTAGTAGGTAAGCGCAAGCGGAATGTAACTGGTGTCACCATCGCCTCAACGCGAAAGGGACCACAGAAGCGAGGTTGGAGCTTGGACGGAATGTGAGATAAACCCAAGTTGTGTGTGTCGAGAAGCATTTGATCTCCGACTGCTACTAAGTGATCTCTTTGCTGTCGATTGGCATACTGCTTCTGGGAGTTCTGCATCGTGGTGAGACGTCGCTGAGTCTTCTCCCATAGCTGCTGCATAGTGATGACGAAGTCGTGTGCGGCTTGGACGTGTGCTGGTGTGGTTGGCTGTTGTGGTGTGAGTGGTTCCCGTCCGTAACACAGGAAGAAAGGAGATTTCCCTGTGGCCGCATGCGACGCGTTGTTGTAAGCGTTGGTAACTGTTGATCCCAGTGGCTGATGTCGTCTTTGCAAGCTGTGCGCAGTAACTGTTCAACCACTTGATTGAGTCGCTCAGTCTGTCCGTCAGTCTGGGGGTGGTATGCTGAAGACATTGCAAGCTTTGTCCCCAACAATCCCATGAGTTCCCTCCAAAACTTACTAGTGAATTTTGGGTCTCTGTCTGAGATGAGTGTAGCGGGGACTCCGTGGATGGTGATGATGCGGTCGAAGAAGAGGCGAACCGTTGCTTCAGCTGTAGCCATGGCGTTGGTCAGGATGAAGTGTCCCATTTTAGAGAACTTGTCGATCACCACGATGATAGCGTCATGCCCTCGTGATGAAGTCTAGGCTAACGACTTGCCATGGCTGTTGTAGTAGTTGGCGAAGCCTAGGAACTGCTGCAACTCCTTCACGTTCTCTGGAACTTTCCACTTCTTGACGGCTTCGATCTTCCGCGGGTCCACGTGTACGCCCTCGGCACTCACCATGTGCCCAAGAAACTGCACCTTCTTAAAGTCAAAGTCGCTCTTTGACAGCTTCACGTAGAACTTATTCTCCCGCAGGATCTCGAAGACTTTCCGCAGATGCTCCACGTGCTCCTTCATGGTCTTAGAGTAGATCAGTATGTCGTCCAGGTACACCACCACGCATTCGTCCAGCAGGGGCCGTAAGATATGATTCATCTCTGCCTGGAACGTCGCTGGTGCGTTGCAGAGTCCAAACGGCATCACTAAGTACTCGTAGGAGCCGTATCTGGTACGGAACGCCGTCTTGTGGATTGAGTTGTCTGCCATCTTGATCTGCCAGTAACCCGACCGTAGGTCCAGCTTCAAAAAAACCGTCGCACCACGCAGTTGGTCTAGAAGATCGTCTATGCGCGGTATGGGGTATTTGTTTTTTACTGTCTGTTTGTTCAGTGCCCGGTAGTCGATGCACATCCGTAAACTACCGTCTGGCTTTGGAGTGAAGAGAACCGGTGCGCCGTAGGGAGAGGTGGATGGGCGGATCAGTTTTCTGTCCAGTAGATACTCAATCTATTTATTCATGTCTGTCAGCTCGGTCGGACTCAGTCGGTATGGTGCACGTGAGACAGGTTTTCCACCTGGTTCCTCCACAATCTCGTGCTCGTGGGTGCGCGCTGGAGGTACTACTGCATGTAGGTCGTCTGGCATGATATCTTTGTACTGCTCCAACACCTCCTTTACTGCTGCAGGTAGCTCCGAACTCGGTTTTTCCTCCTTTGCTGCTGCCATAGCCAGTGCTAAGTAACCCATGTTACTCTCGTTCACCGTCCGTTCGAACCGCGCTAGTGTCATTGCAGGAACATCCCCTGTATCCGTCCAGCTTCGCAGCTCCACACGTTTCCCGTTGTTGTAGATACACGCCTTGCTGTTGACCCAGTCAATCTCGGGGTTGAACCGCTTCAGAAAGTCACGCCCAAAGATGAAATTTCATCCCTTAATGTTCGTGATCGGCAACGTTGGCTTCCACCTCAACGCCCCTATCTGCAGCTGCAGTGTTGACTCGCCGTGGATGGGAAGCTTCGTACCGTCCACCATTGTTGTTGTAAATTGGGTCTCCTCCGATGACTCTCCGATTTTCTCCAACGTCCCGCGGTCGCAGACTGAGTGGGACGCACCACTGTCCACCAGTGCCTGGAGGCGTCGTCCGTTGCAGATCACCTCGAGTACTAGTGGCTGCTGCCGCTCCGAGTAGCTGTAGATGGTGTTGCTTATAGGATCATAAGGTAGATCAGATGAATCGTCCCTTGGTCCTGTGCTCGAAGCTGCTCACTCAATTTCCAACTTAGCAGGGTTAGAAGGATTTATCCGAGGCCGATTCAGCTTCTCTAGGGCCTGGAACCTTCCCCTAAGCCTTTGCAGCGGTGTGGGCTTTGCCTGTGGGGAACAGGGAGCCTTTAAACAGTGCTGCTGGGAGAGAATATGAACTCCTCGGAACGCTCGACCCTTATCAGCGCTCCGGAGTAGGGTCCCCATATTACCCGGTACCGGTTTAATTTCTGACTCTCCCTTAAAATAGGCTTGAAAACCACGAGAAGTAATATTCTTACTTGTCGGGGTGTACGGCTGGAGTTTCCCGGTCGGTGCAGGGTCTTGTTTCGCGGAGTCTCCATTTGTCTCGGCGATTTCCCCTGAAGCCGATTGGTCGTGACATTTTAATTTCGCGCCACCGTATTCTCCTTTTTTCGCCCTCTCCGAAGTTGCTACGTTGCCCGTTTTCTGCTTCGGGGGTGCCACACTGTTCTTGTCCCTCAGCTCCGCACGACTTCTCTTCATTTTCCCAAACGCCAAGATACGATGTCCTGTAGCGCCGCAAAATTCGCACGTCTCATTTTTTGCTAGCCGCTGCGTCGCATCGTCCTTGTCGTTCTCCATCGGGTCGGCAGGTGTGGGTGGTGCCAATCGCTTCATGCCACTATTTGGCTTGCTGCGTCGTGTCCCGTAGTAGCTACTGTTCAACCCGTCGAACTGTTCGATCAGTGCTGCCCGAAACTGCGCCCACGTCTCTTCGCCTTGGACAAATCTATTGCTAATCCACTCTAGAGCTGGGCCTCGTAACAGTGTTGCTGCGAGCCGTATGCGCAATGTGTCTTTGTTGAGGGTCGTGCATCTAACGACTTCAAAGAATTTTTTTATTACAGCTACAAATCAACGGACGTCGCTCCCTTTTGCTCTAGGATCGAACGCGTCTGGTCGCCTCGGCTTTACTGCTTCGAGATTAAATGTAGCTGCTGCCGTTGTTGCAAGTACAATTATCGGTGTCGCCGTCATCGCTTCTGCTGCTGTTGCGGCTACCGATTGGTTCGCAAGGAGTTTTTCGAGTCGTGGGAGCGCCGCAAATATCTGCTTATGCTCAGCACGTAACTCCGCGATTTTTTCTATAAAGAAATCTCTATATCCCTCCCTTTTGGCGATTTACAGAAAAATGGGCGACAAAAATAATTAAATTATAGGTGCTGGTCGACGTACTGCGGGTCGAATCGACGAGCTCGAATTCTGTACGTCGCGCAAATCTCCCCTAGGCGAAATTCGCGTCCGATCCGGCCGTTGAAGAAAAACCCGATCTGACGGTCGAAATTCCAACCTTTTTGGGCGAAAATTTCTGGGCCGTTGAGATTGAAATCGATCGAACGGTTGAAATTCCAACCTTTTTGACCAATATTCCTGAGGGGCAGTCAAAACCGAATCGAGGGGGACTTAGAAAAAATCGCGCGGAACTGGTTTTACATACCCGTATCGGCGCTTTCGTCGTCGCCCCCGCGGTTTTTAAAGGCCGGAACTAAACGGTTGAAGACCTAGTGTGTAAACAGGCTCTTATACCATGTCTGAGGATCTGGTTCAGGAAATATTGACCTATTGAATGATGCACCTGGGTACAAGGCGAGGCTATATATAGGCTCGACACAAAGGCAGTAACTCTAGTGTTGCTAGAAGGTTCCGCGGGTCGCGAAGCGTCCCGAACGGGTTCTTCTCGAATTCAGTAGAAGGCAATTCGGTGGCAACCGAAAAGCCTAGAATTCGGTGCACTCAACCTAGTTCGGTGCCTATAACTATAATAAATATAGTAAAAGCAACGAACCTAGGAAATCTAGCAAAAGCAAGCAAAACAAAATAAAGCTAAGCTAGATAATGCATAATAAAGCAGAATCAAGCTAGTAAATCATAGCATAGCCGCCGTACTTTCACAATCGCTCCCTCCTTCCCCAGTACCGCCGCTGCCACCTCCACCGCTCCCAGTACCATCGCCGCCCCCACCACCACCTCCACCCCCACGACCACCCCCACCACCTCCACCTCCCCCGCCGCCTCCACCACCGCCCCCTCCACCGCCACCTCCACCTCCCCTGCCACCCCTGCTGCCCCTGGCACCGTGGCGATTCCCACTAGGAGCGGAAGCAGCCCCAACCTCCTCAGCACCAAGGAAGTCGACAGCAGCAGCAGCAGAGGCGTAGGAGGGGGCAAGAGGGGAGGGGGAGCACCCCTCAAAGAGGGGAGTGCGAGGAGTGCCACGAGCAGCACCTACAGCGAGCATATTCTTTTCGACCGCAATGAGGTGCTTCTCGAAGTCGGCGATAGTGAGAGTGGCAAGGTCTAGGGCGAGAAAGTGGTCCCTGACTGAGCGAAGAGTGTCAGGGAGGCGGGTGACGAGGAAGTAGAGAGTAAAGTACATCGGGGGTGGAATCTCGGCGAGGAACTCGTATGGAAGGGCGACACAAAAGCGAGCGTCACTAGCGCGAAGGTGAGAGATGAGGTCCTCAGCGGTGGTAAACGAGGACAGGTCGGGGAACAAGTAGGCTAGGAGAAGACGACCTAGGGCTGCAGTGGCTGGGGAAGAGTAGCGGGCGACTGCAGCAGTGTACAGTGCCTTGGCTGTCTTGTGCTGGCTAAACTGCACGCTCAGAGATCGGCAAGTAAATACGAATAGCGAGGCGCGCAGCAGCATCACGGGTCTGCCACTGTGAGCGAGCGAGAGCGTCAGCGGTGTCATCAGAAGCAATGGAGGAGCCAGACGCATGATCATACAGGGAAACGCCGTCTTTGGCATCGGTCATAAGAACAGTTGCATGTCGTCGAGCCAGGTGGCAAATTCTATCGGGCGACCGTCAGGCTCAAACGCGAGGACGTTGAGAGTCGCCATGATCGCAGCGCAGGTAAGGGCAGCGTGCGGGTGACAAAGGGCAGCGCGCGGGCTGCAGAGCAGAGAGCAGGCTGGGAGACGATGCGCGCGGAGCTGCAGTGGCGGCGCACGGGGCAGCTAAGGCTGCTTGGGCAGCCGCAGAGGCGGCGCACGAGCTGCTGAGGCGGCGCGCAAGTGGCTAGGCCGGCGCGCAGGGCAGCCGCGAGGCGCGCGCAGGCTGCTGGGGCGGTGCGCGGGCGGTTAAGGTGGCGCGCGGGGCAGCAGCGAGCAGCACGGAGGCGGCTGGGGCGGCGCGCGAGCGGCTGGGGTGGCGCACGGGGCAGTAACGGGCCACGCAAGGGCTGCCTGGGCGGCGCGTGGGGCAGCAGCGGGCAGCGCGAGGGCTGCCGGGGTGGCGCGTGGGGCAGCGCGAGGGCTGCTAGGGCGGTGCGCGGGGCAGCGGCGGGCAGCGTGCAAGCTGCTAAGGCGGCGCGCGCGTAGCTAGGGCAGCGCGCTCGGCAGCAGCGGGCAGCGCGCGGGGCAGCAGGACGGCGCGCGCAGCGCAGCACGTCACAAGGCAAGGCAAGGCGTGCACAGGCGGCGCAGCGCAGGTCAACACTTGGAATAGTGCGGTAACGAGCAGTTGGTGGGCCCGGGAAAAAAAATAAAAAAGACACGGTCCTACGGACCTACTGCTCTGAAACCATGTCAGAAGAACTGAGCAGGAATGAATGAACTAGCAGTGAGGAAGTTTCTCACAAAGTGAAAACAACGGAATGAGTTAGATTGATTGGGTTGGGGTACAAATGCCTAACCCTAACTGTTTGTACCCCATATAGCATAACCCACTAGAGGCTATAACATTTGACACACCCCCATAGCCTAAGTGGGGAATGCCAAGCAACAAAACACAACCTAAGGTCACAAGACCAGTCACAAGCAAGAGAGCAAATAAAGCTCAGGGTGGATCACGACGTCACCACACAGTCCGAGCACAAACAAGAGGCCACAAGGCCAGTTCAAGAGAGTACAAGCTAATATATATGGTACAAACAAACAAGAGGCAAGAACTCACTACTGCAGTCTACTAGACCCAGTCTCAATGAGGCCTAACTGCAGACAAAACCGGCGGTGGTCACAAGGCTGAAGGGCCTTGGTGAAGATGTCTGCAGTGTTGGCCTCGGAGGCCACGAAGTCCAAACGTGCCTGGCCGCGTCTCTGCAGCTCTCGAAGGAGGAAGTACCTGGCGTCGATGTGCTTCACTCTGCTCTCCAGTCGAGGCTCACGACACAGGAGAATCATCGCCTTGTTGTCAGCAAACAAGGTCGGTGCAGAGCTCGGCCGCTCACCAAGGTCAGTGAGCAAGAAGGTCAACCAGCGTAGCTCCTGAGCAGCAAGGGCTCCAGCGTAGATCTCGGCCTCTGCGGTAGAAGTCGCAACAGAGGAGGACCGAGTAGACCTCCACGAATAGCTCCAGAGCCCCGGCTGAAACAGTAACCCTGCGTAGACCTCTGAGTCTCAACGTCGTCGGCGTACGAGGAGTCGCAGTGACCGGTGAGTACAACTGGCTGTGTCCCTCCAAGTACAAGCCCCATGTCTGATGTCGTGGCGAGGTACTTCGCCACCCTCTTAGCCGCCGTCCAGTGAACAGGACGGTGTCTCCCAGTCGCAACAAAGCGAGAAAGGATGCTAAGAGGTAAGACGAGGTCCGGGCAAGTGCACGTCATCAGGTACATGAGGCAGCCCACCAGCTCTGCGTAGGGACCACTGGGCTCGAACGGCTCGTCAGGAAAAGGCCCAGTGAGTCTGTGGTCTACAGCAAGAGGGGTGGGTGTAGGAGAAGAGTGCTGAAGCCCGAACCGCTGAAGGACCTGCTGCACCATGTGTGACTGGGTCAGAGTGATGGTGCGAGCGGCTCTGTCCCTGGAGATCTGCAGGCCAAGGTAGCGGCGCAGTTCCCCAAGGTCAGTGCAGGTGTGTCTCTTCTGCAGTTCGGACTTCACCTCTGCCAGTGCAGCTGTGTCGGCTGTGGCAAAAACCAAGTCGTCAACGTAGACCAGAACGAAGAAAGGTGTGCGCCCACGACGAACAAACAGCGACGGGTCGGCGGAAGACGGCTCAAACCCGAGGTCGGACAGAGTAGAGCGGAGAGTGTCGTGCCACTCACGGGGTGCCTGGCGGAGACTGTAGACTGGTCGTCTGAGGCACCACTGGGTCCCAGGCGGGAAGGTGCCAGTGAAGCCCGGAGGACGACGCAGCCAGATCTCCTCGTGTAGGCTGCCCTGCAGGAAGGCGGTGGAGAAGTCGAGGGAGTGTAGTGCGTAGTCCCTCTATGCCACTACGTGAAGTAACACCCGAAGAGTGGTCATCTTTGGGGTGGGCGCGAAGGTCTGAAAGAAGGCAATCCCCTCACGCTGACTGAACCCTCTAGCCACGTAGCGTGCCTTGAAGACTGGGGGAGATCCCGGCGGCCGCTTCACCTTGAAGAGCCACATGCCGTCAACTATGTTCGCCCCTGGGGGGGGAACCTCGTCAACGTAAGTGCCTGTGGACCCGTAGGAAGCCATTGCTGCGTCCATGGCAGCTCTCCACTGAGAGGCCCAAGGCCCTGACACTGCCTCAGCGTAAGTGCGAGGAGTAGGTATGTCAGGAGCAACGAGGTCTCCCTAAGGAGCGAGGAGCATGGCACAGAGATGAGGCGAAGCAGCTGCCAGGAACTCTAGCTCAAACTGTCTATCCTCTAGGACGTCACAGCCAAGGGCAGACTCACCCCCGACGGACAGAGGACGGACAGGAGGAGCGGCCACAACACGAGTGGCGTAGTCAAGGCGACGCGTAGCAGTAAAGTCAGTGACAGCGGCAGTGAGGACCGCGACGGAGGAAGGACAAGCACGAGGGTCGGTAACAAGAGAGGCGAGAACACGAGAGAGAGTGGGGCGGTACGTGCGGTAGTAGTCAGTGACCGGAGTGGACAGGGAGGCAGTGAGGGACGACTCAGGAGGACGAGGAAGAACAAACCAAGGAGGACGAGGAGGACAAGAACGAAACAACACGGTACGGAGGTCAGTGACAGGTGACGAGGGACGAGCACGAGGAGGACGAGAGGTCCAAGTGTGGGTGAGAGGAGGGGGGATACGGAGGAGACTGAGAACGAGGGAACACAGCCAGAGTTGAGTCCGGAGGAGGAAACGTAGGACCGAACACAGGACGAGAGGAGGGGAGACCAAGGGCCCGGTGGCCAGAAAAAGGGGCCGGAAACTGCTCCGGCTGCTGCGGCTGCGGCAGCTGCTGCTGCTGCTGCGGCGGCGGCGGCTGCTGCTGCTGCTGCTGCTGCAACTCCAACCTCTCACGCTCCACCCGCTGCTGAACCTCCAACCTCTCACGCTCCAAACGCTGCTGCTCCTCACGCTGAAGACAAAGAAGGGCCTGGTACCGAGTCGGGTAGGGGTGAGGAACCGGCTCCGCCCTCGACAGTAGCTGGCTGAGCACTCCCAGAGCGAGTACCTCTTGCGGCAGCACGACCAGCACCTGTAGGAGGTGTACCCGCACCCCCAATCATGGTGCCTCCAGTGGCACTAGCACCGGCCCTAGACTCTCCAGCTCCAGACACACCACCAGCTCTGGCACCTCCACCAGCTCCAGCACCCCCGAAACGGGCAGCTGCGGCAGGTGCACGCTCAGCGCCAACGCTCAGCTCCAACGCTCAGCGGCAGAGGAGGGAGTGGAGTAGCGAGCAACAATGGCCTGATATAAATCAGCGGAAGACTCGACCTGAGTGAAGTGGACTGCCTCTGTCGGTGGGAGAAGGTCGGTCAGGGCGAGGCAGGCAGCGGCGTCACGAGACTCCCACACGTCGCGAGCGAGGAACTGGCGCTGGTACTCGGCCTCCTGCTCAGGAGTAGGCGGTGGGGTAGTGGGCAGCGGGCTAGGCTGCTGAGGGGCGGTCTGAGTACCGGACGCGTGTGCGAACAGGTGCACGCCATCCTGCCGCTGGCTCTTAAGGTGGCGCTGCGCCTGCGTAAGCCACGTACTAAAGTCAATCGGTCTCCCCTCAGGGTCAAAACGAAGTACTCGGGAGGTCGCCATAGGGGGCGAAAGTGAGAGAGTGCGGCTGCCAGCCGCGGGAGGGTGAGACAGTCAGTGGCGTGTGGGCAGGCGCGCAGGTTTGCAGACGGCCAGGCGGCGTGGCATGCGGTCAGGCGGGCGGCGCGGCGCACTGGCTGATGGGCAGCGCGGCGCACTGGCTGGCGGGCGGTGCGGCGCACTGGCTAGTGGGTGGCGCGGCGCGCTGGCTGGCGGGCCGTCCGTGGCGCGCTGGCGTGGTGCGCTGGCATGCGCGCAAGCGTGGCGCGCTGGCGTGCGTGCTGGCGGGCGCGCTGGCGTGCGCGCTGGCGGGAAGCGCTGGCGTGCGCGCTGGCGTGCGTATTGGCGTGCGCGCTGGCGGGGCGCGCTGGCGTGCGCGCTGGCGGGGCGCGCTGGCGTGCGCGCTGGCGTGCGCGCTGGCGGGGCGAGTTGGTGTGCGCGCTAGCGGGGCGCGCTGGTGTGGCGCGCTGGCTGGGCGCGTTGGCGGGCCTGCTAGCTAGGGCGCTGGCGGGCCTACTGGCTAGGGCGCTGGCGTGCCTGCTGGCTAGCACGCTTAGGGCAGACGGGGGGTGGAGGGGGGCACACCAAGGCTAGAGGAGCCCTAATTCTAGGGATGGCGGAGGCTAGGAACTGCAGAGACTAAGAACGGCGGAGACTAGGAATAGCAGAGACTAAGAACGGCGAAGACTAGGAACGGCGGAGACTCGGAACGGCGGAGACTAGGTGTGGCCTCGGAACGGCGAACCTACTACTGATACCATCTCACAAAGTGAAAACAGCGGAATGAGTTAGATTGATTGTGTTGGGGTACAAATGCCTAACCCTAACTGTTTGTACCCCATATAGCATAACCCACTAGAGGCTATAAATAGAAACCCTAACATTCAGCTGTACCCCATATGGGTTACCCCACTACAGCCTACAGACCATACTATAGCATATATATCTATATAGTTTGACAAAGCAACTGCTGGAGGTTACATGAAGGTCAAAGGTCAGTGACCTTTAACTTGACAAGTACAGCGCGACAGCAAGGACAAACAACGTACTCGCTATTGAGCTGTTGCCCGAGTCGTCACTTTTTCAAACCTTGTATCTTCTTGCTTTAGTCAAACTATCGTGCCCTCACATACCAGCGCAAGGTGGTTCAATACTTCTCATTAAACGCTTCCGCAATTACAACATTCCTACCCAGAGTTTAGCCTTGAAAAGATTCTAAGGGCATTTCTCAGCCCAACACCCTACCCTAATTACCATCATGCTCACTTGTTATGAGTGCAATTGAGTGAGCGAGCAAGAATTGCACTATCGAAGCAAGAGTACAATGAGCGAAGGCATGAGCGAAGAATATATAGCGAAACTACAGTGGTAACGGGCGCGGGAATTGGGGTGTGCGACGGGCCTAGCGCCAAGGGTGGGAAATTCCGACTCGGAGGTCCGGAGCGCGGGTTACCAACCGAGCCGTGAGGTTGGGTCGCGGCGTGAACAGTGGCGGGAACAGTGTCAGCGCCATGCTCCTTCAGCTGGCCGGACGACAACAGGTTCGCATGCACGCCCGGGACGTAGAGCACGTCGGGGATGAGCACCTGCTTCCCGGCCTCGCCTTGCAGGGCAACAGTGCCGCGGCCCTGGACGTCCTGCAGCGCCCCATTGAAGCCACGCACGTGCTTCACGTCGCCGCTCGGTGCCAAGTCGATGAAGGCGTCCTTCGTCCCCATCAGGTGGTGAGAGCAGCCACTGTCGAGTAGGACCACCGCCGGGTTCGCCTGCACAGCTGCCGCCACCGCCTGGAAGTCCTCGCCAGCCTCCGGTGCCAGCGAGACGGTCGGCTCCACGACGCCGACCAGCGAGCACGACGCCGTCTTGCCGCCAGCAGAGGGGTCGGCGTCCTTCGCCGTGGTCGACGTGGTCGACTGCTTCTCCTTGCGCGGCTTCTCCTTTCCTCCACGACGTGGACGACGACTGCTAGACCTCCCGCGGCCGCCCGTGTCGTCGTCGTCGGAGTCGCTGCGGTCGGGGCACTCGAAGGAGAGGTGGTCGGGGCTGTGGCAGATCCAGCACTCCCGACGTCGACTTCCTCCACCTCGACCACTGTCCTTGGTCGACTTCTTCTTGTCGACCTCCTTTGTTGACTTCGAGCCACTGCTACCACCGCCACCTGATTGTCCACGCTGCCCTGGTCGACCGCCTTGCTTCGCCGGGGCGACGAAGTTCGCCTGCGCCAGCAGCTCCTGGGACCGCTCTGCCTCCTGCATTGCCTCGTCTTGCAGGATGTACGAGGTTAGGTTGTCCTCGTTGAGCGTCGCCCTCGTGCTCGGCGCCATGGACAGCCGCTTCAACAGGTTGTAGCTGCTCCGGAGTCCCTGCATGACATGGGTGATGTACGACGCCGTCGAATACTCCGCACCGGCCATCCTGATGGTGGCGAGAATTCGCCGGGCCCGGTTGCAGTAGTCGGTCGCCGTCTCCTCGTCGCCCATGCGCAGGTGCGTCAGCTGCCCTTCAAGCTGGGCGATAAATAGGTTGTCGGTGACCTGGTACGTCGACTCGATGAAGTGCCACGCCTGGTGGCCGGCGTCGAGGTACTCCCTGCACCACTTCAGGGCGATCTGCACGCCCGGCGTGCAGCACCGCGAGATGACCGTGAAGGTCAACAGCTGCACGGCGCGGAACTCAGCTCGCAAGTCGGGGTCGTCCGGCGTCTCCACGGTGCCTCGAGCGAAGCTGATCAGCCCGGCCATCTCCAGCTGGGGCTCGATGGCTTCCTTCCAGGTGAGGATGTCTGGTCGACCGACCAGCGGGGGAGTCACCGAGATCCTGTCCGGCGTGAACTTGTAGTAGCCGTAGCTCGGTGCAATTCCGCCCGCCGTCACCTGGGACGCCGCCATCGGCATCAACCCGCTTCGTCGACCTCCGACGTCGCCCTGCGAGGTGCCTGCAGCCGAAGTCGACCGCATCCCTCGCGTCTGAACACCGCCGACTTCATCGGCGCGAATCACACCACGCAGCCTCGACGACGTGCCTCCCGCACTGCTGCCGACTTGGCCACCACCGGCGTTGACGCCGACCTCGGTGTTTGCCGGTCGAGGAGACGCAGGCCGAGAGGGGTGCTCCGTCGCCCACAAGGAACGGATGCCAGCCTCGACGACCGCCCAAGGCAGGTCGCCATATTCGTTGGCCTCGTGCTTCCTCCTCGCGTTTTCCAGCCGTGCCTCCAGGGTGTCCACCACCCCCGTGTCACCTACGGCCACTACCATAGTGACAATCGCACAGCTGCCGGCCTACGAACCACTTAGGTAAGGTGCCTACCAAGTCGACTAGACTGAAAGGTAAGTCGTAGTGCCGTCCACGCTCACCGCACCATGCGGAGATAACTCTAGTAACGGGAGCTAGACTACGGGCTAGGCACGGGTGCTCGTGTGATCTCTGCGTTCTCTGGTCCTTAGACGTTTTCCTAGTGCACACACTGCTTGCTAGTTCATAAGGCAATTTGGCAAGAGTTTCACTAGAGAAAGTTGACAATAATGATACAATCAAGTTGGCTAAGGAAGACTACATCAGAGCTAGGATGCAAGCAGGTCGACTGCCAGCGCAGCACGGTCGACCGCGTGCCAGCACGACTTGGTTGACCGCGCTCCAGCAGTGCAGGGACGCGGCTTGCCAACGCTGCAGGTCGACGGCGAGACAACAGCGCAAGTCGACGGCGTGCCAGCGTTGCTCCTGCAGTCCAGCATCGCACCCGCTTCGCAGGTGCTCGTAGGTGATTGGCGTGCACTGCTTCGTCACCTGCACAGCACACACACTAAGTCCACCTCGTGCTGACGACTGTATCTGATGCACCACGTCGACCTCGGGATACCATCACCGAGGTCGTTCTCGCCAAAACCACCTGGGCGACCTTCGCAAGCCTTCGCAGCACCTCGTCACCCAGGTAACCTGGTCGACCGGGCAACCAGGTCGACCAGAGGCTCCAGTGCGTGCCCGTCGACCACCCAGGTCGACGACCACTTCCGGTCGACCTCCCAGGTCGACCACTGCCTCTGGTACGTGCCGGTCGACCTCCCAAGTCGACGGCCACCTCCAGTCGACCTCCCCAGGTCGACCACTATCCCCTGGTTGACCAGCTGCAAGTCGACGTCCCAGGTCGACCAGCCGAAGTTGGCGCCCTCCCGACGTCGGCGCCCATGCAGTGGCTCCCCGTGCAGGTCGACCAACCTCGTCGACCAACTCGCCCACTGCTGCAGGTCGGCTGCACCCTACACCCGACCATGAAGTCGGCTCCGCCCAAGCGAGGACGGGGCCAACATACAACTCCCGTTGACACCACCAGGCCCACATTTTACTGAAGCACAGTTGTCTGTCACGACGAGGAATACAGATACGAGGGAAAGCATAGATCCACAAGGAGGCTTGACAACCATGGGGTATACGACAAACGGAATCACGCAAAGATGCAACGTGACCATCATGGGGCCTATTCAGAAACCAAAGGCGGAAAGAGTCTGCAGAGCATTCGCATCAGTAGCCAGCAACTAAACAATGTCTCTGTCCCTTATTCTCATGTCCACATTGGTAACTGGTTTGGACGAAGTAATGGATCAACTTGAGTTGTATGAGCTTACCAATGCAAGTGAGGTTGCCAGAAGACGGTCTGAAGCCAGTGTTGCAACTACAGGCTGGAATTCTGTTTGCGTCCTTCTTGCACGTGCTGTTGGGCTGACAATTCACTAAAGCGCACTTGTCTGCAATGAAAAGGATACACACATAGACAAGAATGATAGAGGTTTCGCAACCATAAACCACGTTTTCAGGTATGCGATGTGTGCATCATGCTGACAATTTCAGAAGCCAAAGTCGAGACGGTCGGATCTCCCCATAATCCTACCAGGCAGGCCCCTAGGCAGTGGTACTTGAAGCTACAAGAAGTTTTGGAGGCTCAAGCAGGCCCCTAGGCAGTGGTACTTGAAGCTGCAAGAAGTTTTGAAGAAGATCGGCTTCACTCCCTCAACGGCCGATCACTCCTTGTTCATGCTTAGTGAGGGGGAGCAGAGGAGCTTCATAGTGGTTTATGTGGATGGTATCCTCATCTTCTCACCCTCCTCTGACCTTGTGAAGGAGGTGATGCTGAAGCTTCATGATTGGTTCAAGTGCAAGGCTCTTGGTGACATGAACTTCTACCTTGGGCTCCACATCGAACGAGACGTGGAGAAGCGGTGCATGCGGGTGCACCAACGGAAGTACCTGGAGGCCTTGGCTGCCAACTTTGGGCAGAGTGAAGGCCATGTGGCTACTCTTATTCCTTCTGAGTTCAAGTGTGTGAAGGGACTGTTAACGGGAATGGAGTGTTGGCCCCGCCCTCGCTTGGGCAATGCCGACGACTTGGTCGGATGTACGGGTGAAGCAGCCGACCGTTCGCAGTGAAGGAGCTGCTCGACGGGCTTCGTC